AGATGGTAATTTCTTGAATTTTGAATAGTTTGGTTGTCAGGAGGTGAGGAGTAGCAGGAGGCCCATTCTTCTTGGGCTGGCCTTGTCATATATTTTAATAATTGATTATATTTTCATCCTGTTGTCAGTGACTTATCTGCTTTTGAATGTAACAGCAGATTTCAACAATTTATCCTTGGGGGAAAATAACATCAACCTTTTATTATTTTGTCGTTTAGGTGCGCATTGCTATGAACGTGCCTATCTGGCCATTTGTTTTGGTTTGAGATTCAAACGAGTATGTCAGCATTGCGTAGATGATATATAGATATGGTAAAAAGTATACTACTGTAAATATTTAAGATAGATATTCAGCTGCAAACTATAAGTTTTAAATAAACAATTTGCTATTGATGACCACGTAATATTTAAATGTTCTCGCATATGCAACCCTAAATATCTACGTCGTGATCACGCCAACACATAATCAACATTGACAAATTTTATTCGCAATATTGGAAATTGGAAATTGTAAGTAATTGATTTTGCTTCAGTAACATCTGTTTCTGATTTTCTACTTGCTACAGTTGGAAATAACTCTAAATTAATATTCATGTAATTTTGTGTCATGTTTTTACTCTGTAGAGGAAATGAATTGTTCAAGATATGATTATAGTACATTATAGGTACCAAGATCACATAAAGATGGTGACTATGATAATATTAATGATAATACTATTAATTAATAAATAAAAATTATTCTTAAAAATACTGTATGCCTATGATGAATTGTTAAAAAATGGTGGTTATTTAAATAATTAAAATAATGACTGACAACAATAATGATGGTGATAATAATAATGATAATGATGACAATAATGTTGATAATGAAAATGAGCACAATAAAAATATTGATAAATATGATGTAATGATGATGATATTAATCGTACTGCACTGATATTGAAAAGTCATAAAGGTGCATGGTTAATGGTTGAAGATATTGTTATTGTAATAGTTTTGTGTATGACTATTAATAAATGACACAGAAACTATAAAACTCGAACACAACTTCTTTATTCCATGTTCAAACACAGAGTGCCTACTCCTGCCTCAATGGCATAGAAGTAGTGTGTATCAGTAACACTTAAACTATATTTAAGCCAAACTGTAAACAAGGTTTCTGGATGGACAGCCACATAAACATAGCAATGGAATATCACAGTTATTAATAATTAATAAGAGTTTTTAATAATGATAGTAACTTTTATAAATTTAATGATATAATAATAATAAGAATAGTACTAATTAATTTTTAAATTACGATTTTAATCTTTATATAGGACATAATTTTTGATATAGAATGCTTTTTTTTTACATTGAATCTGAATAATTATAATAAGTGAATGTCATTTACTTGAACAGGTTCAATCACAATATCTAGAGGCTGTGCCACCTACCCCATCAATATGATTAGAATAAGCTTATCTTAAATCCTCTATATTCCTGAGCTTTACTGAACTCCTAACATTATTTTCATTTTTAGATATTTCATGAAAAAATTCCAGTTGACATTTTCTTCTTAAATTTTATCCTGTTAAAATGCTCTTGTAAAAATGAAGTAATATAAAAATGGTATAGTAAATTAGATTGAAATATTATATGAACCATTTTCAGTGAAATTAGCTCTGTAGTATGTGCGTATGACACATTTGCTTTGGTGTAAAAACTGTTGTAGATTTAATGTGAAATTGATTTAGATTATAAAATTATTTTACCTCTACATACTAAAATGAAAGTGTCCATATTTCCTGTGTGACTGACCTGGCTCTCATACAAAACATATTTTTTCAATGTTGTTTTTCCACAGGATTATTCTATATACTTTGTTGATTAAATTTGGAGACTTTATAACGTTATCACTAACAGCAGTAAATTAGGTAGGAATTTTTCAGCAGCAGTTACTACAAAATTACAAGCTTATAAGCAATGAATGATCTCTTCATTGCTTCAATTGACCTGTCAAGTTACTGAAATGTTTAATTTTTAATAGCATGGTAAATGTTTTGTCTCAGCACTAAAACTTACCTCCCACATGGGCTTCTTGATTACCCCATGAGAAAAAAATAAATCACTTGATAGCTTTTGCAAATAAAAACAACTCAAAAACACTCATAATCCAACATGAAAAACCTCTGTAATTATTATATTACAAATCAAATTTTGTTGAGATATAAACTTTTAATAAAAAAAAAGCTCCCTAGGTGGGTGTAATAATGTGGGTGTATAGTCTGTTTACTTTAGGCATATATAATTTGATGTGAATGAACTGCTGAGAGGAAACTTTTAGCAGTCTTCAAAGTGTCCCATTTGTCTATATTTTGTCAAATTAAAATATAATGTTTTTCACACCTTCCCACATATTTTTTGCTGCCTCATTTTTTAAAATAAAGCAAAACATTGAGAAATATTTGCCAAAATTCAGTCATAAAGTATTTGGTATCTAGGGTTACATAAATTTGTGCCAATGTGTGGGTGTTGTGGCCATATTTTAATATATTTATGTTAAGAAAATAAAGCATAATAGTATTGTTGTTTTAAACTATCTGTCATTAGAAGTTGAACCTGTTAAAAAGCATTTGCTCTTTCATATATATTTTTTTAAGGTTTCCAACCTTACCAAATTTGCATATTAAAGTTGTGAAGTAACTGGTAACTGTAAGTTCATTTATTGTCTACTACTGTAATATTGTTTGAGTATGTCAGGAAGTAAAGTCAGTTTAAAATAGAGAACATGAATATGCACCTACAAATGAAGAAAAGCCTAACCTCTGCTTAATTTTCATGAATAACTTTAAAAATGTGAAGTGGTATATGGTAGCAGTGGCAATATACCAGTAGAGGACCGGGGTGTTAAGCCTCTTCTTGGATAGACCAAGCCCCAAGTTAGTCAAAACTTGTGGGACAAAAATAAAAGTTTGTTCATTAAAAGGAAAATTTGACTAGAACAGCTTAAAATTGCCTGAAGCTGGCCATATAGGTGCCCCTCATGTCAGCCTTTACTGAATGGTAGTGGTAGGAATATTTATAACTATATCATCTTACTATATTAGCATGTACATATCATATGTTAATTAACACAGAATGATTTTGTACATAATTCTTGGCATAAATACAATATTGCCATAAGGCTGAAGTAATCAGATTAAATTAAAGAAAGAGTGCCGGAAAGCAATTACGCTTAAAACTATTAAAGTCTTATCGAACAAGAAAAAAGAAAGAAACTGATTAAAAACAAATTATAATGGTTAATAATATGATGGATCGTACAGATTTTAATTTACTTTTCCAAAGATAGCGTCAGGTTGATGATATTTACGTTTAATGTGTTTCACGTTCCTGATTGCTGTGGACTTGTCTTATTTTTATACATCCCTTTCAGGTAGTTGTGACAGGTCTGGTTATTATACATTTGTGTACACGCATGTGGATGAGGTTACGAGTATAGGCTTGAAGCCCCGTGGGAAATCAGTATGTTTAATTGGTTAATCCAGGCTGGACCGTGCTAAACTGCACAGTCAGCCTACATCGTGGGTCACCAGACGCTCTTCGCTAAGTCCCCAATCCACAGCCTTTTTAGTGAATAATTGCACACACTCTGCGATTTCTTTCCGGGGCGGGTGAAAGGAAAAAGCCAATTTCATCGAAGACCTAAATTTGTTCCCGTTTTTAATATTGAATGAGTGCAGAGCACGCAGAGTATATGAGCCTGGCTGTTTTACTTTGTCAATTACGCTGTGTATCAAATACTACATGCAACTTGTCAAACTAGAAATTGGCTAGAATAAAGATAGTGAGAGAAAATTCCCCTATCGCTGTCCGTGTCAATAAAAATATGCTAGCATCATATGACTACAGTAGTATTTTTTTTACTCAAAACCAGTTAGATACCGTTAGGTAATTATGACTTGATGAACAGTTCATCACCCCATCTTGAGAAGTCAAGTGGATTTCTTTAAAAGTCAAGTTGAATTTTGTTTATTTTAATTTTTGTCAAGTGCATTCTTTTAGTCATGTTGAATTTTGTTTATTTTAATTTTTGTCAAGTGAATTCTTTTTACTCAAGTTGAAGTTTGTTTATTTCAATTTTGTTCAAGTGATATTTTTAGGTCAAGTTGATTTTTGTTGGTTTTTTTTTAATCAAAGTAATTTTTGTTTATTTTGTTTTTTTATCAAATGATTCTTTTTTAATCCAAGTCCATTCTTGCTTAGTTCTTTATTTCTTATCATTTTGAAAATATTATTTTAAACAGATACCCACTTTCTTTTACTCAAGTATTGTCTGGTCAAATGAAAATATAATGTGTAGGCCTAGTATATTCCATTAAAACAAATCAGATATCTGCCCATGACTTAAAAGTTAGAGATATTCTGCTTTATCAGACTTGTCTGATCAACAATTGTCAATTGAGTGAACCATGTTTGATAGTGAATTCTTGTTTCAGATACGTCAGATATTGCAATACATATTTATCCATGTTGAAAGTCAAGGACAATGCTCTACTCCATCAGACATGCAAAAATCTGTTATTATATACAAAGCATCAGACATATCTGTTCAAACAAAATGTACAGTATACACCCATGGATTTGAAAACTAATGTACTTCATCATACAACAAATTTATATGTTGGAATAAATAATTTAATCTGGTTAGGATACAGTAGTGCAACTTTTACAGTACCAACAAATATCTTGATAGTTTGCCGCTGGCTTTAGGGGTTTTTCTGAGGGAGTGAAGCTATATTTGTGATTCTGTTTATATGTAAATATTTCCACCTCGATTACTTAATTTCAACACTGAAAAATAAGAGATATTTTATTTTCTAAAATTGGAAATTTAATGAGAACTATTCTGTAGTTTAAAAAAGTTAATTTGAATTGATACAATATGTCAGGCACATTCAGTGTGATATTACTTTTTATATATTTAACCTTGTATGGTATTTCTTGTATTTTTATAGACTGAAGTTCAACAGCTGGAGGGCAGCATTCAACCAAGTGAGGGCAGTCTTTCCCCCTATCTAGTCCCTGATGCAGACACGCTCATAAATCACCTGGGCCTCATTAAGCAGCTGGCGTCAAGTGCACGTTTCATCATTGTCATTCCGAAAGCAGGTATTAATTATTTGTCATTTAAGTCAACAATCAGAGTAACACTTCACTGTTCACGATGGCGCTTGCCAGCTGTATTGCTGGACTCGAAGGTCAAGGGTTACCTGAGAGGGAGTCTAATTATCGTTCATCAACACTTGTGTCATGTTGTACAAAATTCAATCATTATGTGGCTTTTTTGAGATCATATTAGATGACATATGAAGATTAAACCCACAAGAATATGTTGTCATTTGTTTGATCTTTGGAAGACAAGGGCCATGTAATGTAATACAGTACACATGCATTTTAATTTATGCAAGGACTAAATAAATAAATTATGAAATATTCTTTTCATTGATCTTAAAGAGCAACTTCTTTTATTATTTTTAAATCTTCAATTTGGTTTGCTTTTCTGTTTTTCTTTTGCTTTACAAAAGTATGTATTATTACTAATATTTTTTCAAATTTACCCCTTACCTTTGAAGTTGTAATTGGTTTAGTTTCAATTTACTCCTGTATTACTACTATTTATTGCAACTTGAAAGGATCATAATAAAATAATAATAATATAGACATATGAACACATAGTACCATATGTGGTTTGTGACAGACGACCACATAGAGAGAAGGTGACGCTGACTCAGCATCTGTGTATTTGAATTCCTAAGTTGACTACAATTTTTCTTTTATAATTTGTTTTAAAGCATAAAATGTAAGTGCCAAATTACTGTTAGTATTATTATTGGAATTGTATTGTAATTAATTATTATTGGTGTATAATATGTAGTTAATATTATAATGTAATTTGTTAGTTGTAATATGAAATAGATGATGATTTTCCGTATTTTCACGGATAAGCTTTTTCATGGTATTCACAAGCGCCTTGAACACTTTAGTGGAGATGTGCGCTTAATAAATCTTATTATTATTATTATTATCCCTTCATTAAAGTACAGATTTAATGAAATTAAAATTATTTTTTTTATTAGAATTAAATGACATGAAAGTTGAATTATCATACAAAGTAATAAATTCTCTATCTTCATAATTTTAGACCGACTGTAGTGGAACATTAATATATTGTGTGAAAAATTCAGTATTTTAAATATTTAAATTGTATATCCTGAGATATTAGCTTTTAATTCTAAAGCAAAATGTCTGTAAATCAGGAAAACTGAATTAAATTGTTTTAATCTGTGTCTCGATGGAAATTAATTACTCATTTGATCTTTTTAAATGAGCTGTACAATTTCTTGAATATTTAAAGCCAGATTTTATCATATTATATCGAAATGGACGTTGCGGCTGATATCAAAGGTGAAATAATTATATTAATATTCTGTAATTTCCACAGGTGATGGAAATCTTGTTCATAATCAAGATGATAATTAGCATGATCCCATCAATTTATCCTTTTGTAACTTCCTATTGGCTATTCACAGAAGCCGTGAATTCCTCATCTAATTTAAAATACATTTTGGTACGTTAACTCGAAGAATTAGTATGCGAATTAATAAAGACGCCAGCATTTAGGCAACAAGGACATGGCCTGGCGGCAAGCTGTGTTGGATGTCTTTTTGATTGTCCTCATCCGCTGATAGCAGGTGATGTGTTGAAATTGTGAAGAATGCTTCACACATCCAAGTAATTCAAGCTTAATCTAAAAAAGTTACTGCCAAACTTCCTGTAAATTCAATTTTATTCAAATTAATTGAAATTTAATTTAAAAACTGTATTGGTCCTTAGGAGATTTTGTTTTGATACTGTTCATGTCATAATATGTAATGAAAGATACAAATATGTAACATACAGCTATTGGTAATGTAGGCATTGTCTGGGACTGTTATGGGTTACTTTGGTATAGACTCAGAGTTGGCTATGTGGTACCTCTACTTAGGTTGAAACGTATTGCCAAACTTTTATAAATAAGCCACCCCTATAATAACTCTGGGTTGACTGAGTTATATGGTACGTCCACATTCAACTATAGTAGACACTGCTACCCTCATTTTGATATCCCAAGAATAGCTTTAATCCAGAGCGGTTGACTGAGATTATGTGGTGCGCCCACACTCGGCTTTATGTTGATAACTGATGAAGTAGTTGACTCATGACTGTGCAATTCCTTTTTCTTTACTTTTATACAAATGAACATATGAAATATTAACCTTGAATTCTGGTAATTTGTGAAATTTGTAGTTGTTTTTGCTTCGCTGTGTTTATCCAAAATACTGAACACGCAAGTAATATGTCATACTTTACTGTAAAAAATTGGCCAGCACTTCCATTTTGTTACATACATGACATTAAAAAAAAAAACAAAGTTGGGAATTTAAAGCTATACTTTGTGGTAATTATTGAATATTAATGTATTCGCTGAACTATTAGCACTGTTCACCTGTTATTCAGGGTGACCTAGCGATTGAAACCCTGGGGATAACCTGCCCTAAGGATAGGCTACCCGGGGTAAAGCTGACCTGGTGATAAACTACTCCTGGGGATTTAAGTTTCCCAATGGAATGCGATATAATGCAGATTATTTGTGTAATTTTAGTGGCTGTTCCAATCTGTTTGTACATTTTATTATGAGTGATTTTTCAAGGTTTATTTTGGACAATATTTTTAGCCCCAGCTATCTCGCTTTCCTTCCAATTTAACCACCCTAGCTTAACACCGCCATTGAAATGTATGTTGGTATTCAACTTTGACGTCTCACTTCTTTCTCACTACATATTAATGTTCAACTGTTTACCATTTGTCTTTGTCATGGCCAGACAGGTGTATTTACTTGTCAATTTGTATAATATTTAACCATTTTTATATGTTTTTCATCCTATTTGACATCCACTTCAATTAAGTTGGCAAAACATACTGATTTATAGAATTAATTTATCATATTTTATTGAATTTTACTAAGTGGGGCTGTAATGAGATCCTGCATTTTGCTTCCCCTGATACCTAGGCCTAATGATTTATAACAAACACTATAATGTACAAACATTTCAATCAAATTCTAATGACCCAAATTTGAACTTAGTATATATGCCTATAGTCTTTTTCTAACCACCAATATTAAATTATATGACCCTAATTTAAACTTAGTTATAATATAATATACAGCCATTTTTTGATACACTTTTTCCCCTCTTTATTCTTGCTTTATTTATTATTGTTTATTACTGAATACTATACTGAAAAAATGTATTTGTCAAAACTTATAAAAGTTAGAAAAAAATCCATTAAACATATATAAACTTATTGTTACATGTATTGTTATTGCATTGTAATTAAAGAGTTGATCTAGGCATTTGTATATTACACATTAAGTGATTATTTTTTAATGGTTTGTAAGTATAGATAAATCTATATAAAATTGAATTAAGGTAATATATTAGCTGTGAAAAGTAAGAAATACAACATAGAAAAGTATCCTAATTTTAAAATCAGTTTAAAAGAGTTTACACATTAGAATTGAGTTAAAAACTACTAAAAGTATTAATAAAACACAGATTATTTGCATTGAATTGCACATTTACAAAACATATATCAAATTTACTGGTGCCGATTAATTGGTCCATTTAGTTTTTCTTTTTTATTATTATTCAGTATCAGTATATTGTTTCTGAAATTGATATATGAAGTGTACTTCAGAATTTATGTTTGTTTTGTAAGTGAGAGGAGATGGCATGAAAGTTTGCTTTATTTAATAAGTGATGAATAAAGAGAAACTTACAACACCCAATCTGAAGACACGTACTATAAACATGAAGCAGTTTGCACGTCTGACACCACAATGTAATTAAAGAGACCTAATTGGTTGATTAGATCAAGTATTACTTCTACAGTAAATAACTAACGAGCCAATCAAAATTAGTTTTGACCTTTATTTGACCTCATTGGACATGCTTCGTTTAAGTCTCATCCTGTGAGAGATCATAGTTTGCCAAATTCTACTCAACAACTCTGATGTTATATATATATATATATATATACAGTAGTCATCGAAGACTGCCTCAATTAATTTTTAAGTTTAGGTTGTAATTTGCATCTGTCGTTTTCCGTTGCTCAAGGTTGTATATAAAAGGATTTTCTATGTCGATGTAATAGGGGATTTTTTTTTTAGTAAAGTGACTTCCTCAATTTAGAAATGGTTAGGTTCAAATCACTTAGCAAGGGGTAAATTAAGTGGGTGCAGTGGGTGAAAGGTGTTTTCTTCAAATATCCCAGTGTTCATGTCACAAGAATATTGTTTACATCAGATAATTTTTTAGACAGCATTGCACTTAAATATTGATCTATATGTTTTTGAATTTTTTTAAACATATTTGAAAGATTATTTTTAAATTTAATTCCAAGTGAAGTGAAGTGCAATGGGAAAAAAAAATATAAGATAAACGATATAAGATAAACGATATACTCTAAATCCGGCTGCTCACTATGTCGTACGACGAATCCACTTCTGCTTCTGGCGAGCAATAGACGACGTTAACGCCGTCTGCTGATTGTCGGTGGCAGTCTGAATGGATCCTCATTAAAGCGATCTGTTGGTTTCTGCGCCATTGCATGCGTTTGTCGTCGCGTCGCTGTCGTGCGCAGTGAATACCCGTCTTTACAGTCAACGATTGAGCCTAGTTGAATGCTACAGTCCGTCTTTCAACAACTGAAAGAAAAAAAAAAAGACATTCAAAATTTGTTTTATAATACATCTAAAATAGATTACTGTCATTTGATATGAAAAATATGTTTATCTTTCTGTCTACTGGAACAGCTTATCGTATGAATGAAAGCAGCATATTTTTACAATAAGCCCAGCACCAAAATTGTCACAATTTTGTGTTCAAGAGGGTAGCCTTATGCCTGAAGAACTACAAATATTATTGAATTTGCTGGTAGTCAGTTTCTAGAATTTCTCTAGAAAGTCTAAAATTATCCCCTTTTATTTTAACTGTCAAAATCAATAAATCAATCAATCAACTATAGATCAATCAGTCACCCAATCAGATTGGAATTAACAGTGAAAAAAATACAACTAGATTCCCCTTAGAACACTTTCATTTCAGGTTTGGCGTCTTAAATGATATTATTTGTCTGAAGGCAATGTATTTTTTCCCCTTTTCAGTGATTGATACTCTAGATTCAAGCAAGAAGACACAGCAGGGGGCCCGAGACACCATCAAGTACCTCGAGAGAGAGTTTCATAGAGGAAACAGGTTCGTCATCAGTACAAGTTTCTTTTTTTTTTTTTATCTCTACTACAGAGGCAAAGTGTATTCCTGAGGGGTTTATTGAGCCTGTCAGTTCTATGTTTTCATTCACATGATCTTTTAAAAATCTGTTCCATAATGTCAAACAAAGGATTTGACAGTATTTTAAAAGTTGTTTATACGTGGATAGGTTCACTTTTGTTGCAACTTGTGGATGAATCGAAAGTAGTCATACTCAATCTTTTTATGAACAGATTTGGAGTGATAAGGAAACATAGAAATAATTTTAATTTCGATTATAATAAATATAAAATTATTATTTTAATTCTTGTATTATTATTTTTGTTAGATTCACAGGCAAATAAGATACCGTATTTTCTCGCATATAAAGCAATCTGCATATTACACAACACTCCCCCACCCCATTTTCAAGTTTAAGAAGATTTTTGGACAACTTTGTTTGTCGGGCGTATAAGATGCCTCCCATTTCAGAAATCCTTTTTCCTTGCTGCTTTTATGGTCTTGATATGCATCTAGCTGGAGCCAAACGTAGGGCTAATTTTCCAAATACCATTTTATGGGCTTTTATATATTCATCAAAATCATATTTTCCCATATATATAAAATTGCGTTGGTTCATTATAACAGTAGCTTCATTTCTGTAATAAATTTGCGTGTTACGGCATTACGGGAATTTCTATCAAGGTCATCGGGGAAAAATCAAATCTCGAGCACCGAAAGTACAATTCAGGCATGCCTTACTAAACTGTAAAATTTTAGGGATTAAAAACTATTTAGTGTAAGCAGTGTTACCGTATGTGTGAGGTGTTGTATACTATTGCGATTGTACCAGTACCCCCGACAACTTGCATGGTTTTCTATCAAATTATCCTTTTTAAATAAAGAATCCCATAATTAATAAATTTTATTACTTATTTATTACCTGACAAATTAAATTTTTTCCCCAACCAGAGGGGGTGGGGGTGGACCCCTTGTTTGGGAGCTTGGACCATTTGTCGTGAAATTCATGATGACCATATATAGGCACATGATGACTATATATGGGCACATCATGACCATATATAGGCACATGATGACTATATATGGGCACATGATGACCATATATAGGCACATGATGACTATATATGGGCACATCATGACCATATATAGGCACATGATAACTATATATGGGCACATGATGACCATATATAGGCACATGATGACTATATATGGGCACATGATGACCATATATAGGCACATCATGACTATATATGGGCACATCATGACCATATATAGGCACATCATGACTATATATGGGCACATCATGACCATATATAGGCACATGGTGACCATATATAGGCACATGATGACTATATATGGGCATACACTAGTTTTTTGTCAAAGAAAATTGATAGTGTGGACAAAGCATGAAATTAATTGTAATTCTTTTTTTGTTATACTTGATTTTTTTTTAAATTGTTAATCTACTTATAGGTACTTGAGAGCTCAAAAAGAAAATGAGGTTGTCAAGTCAGTAAAGAGGAAGAAAACAAAGAATGAAGATAAGCGAATCTGGTAGGTTCATCTTTTCACCCTCCACAAAAACATCAAGTGTTCCAATAAATGGAACTCAAAACTCTGTAGATCAGATGGGTAGGAAACTCAAAATCACACGAGCATCAGCTTTTTGAAGAAAATCACATTTGGTAGTGAAATTGTTTGTAGAAGTAAAATTTCCAAAATTTCATGTCTAAGAGAGGAAACGATAAAATTGGAATGTTAGAGTAATATAATCATAGTCAACAAAATGCTGGCTGAGGAGTATCCAAAAGTTATACTGTAGTGATAAGCAATCAAAACACCAACCGGCCATTATTCATTTTTCCTCTGTCTCTGTACTATGTATTAGCAACGTAAATATTAATGTTGAAATTGTAATTAATATACAAAAAAAGAAAAGGTTTATTATAAGCAGATATGCTAATGTAAATATCTCAACCACAGGTTTCTATCTCCCTCATAAAAACACCTAAACATTAATTTCTCACGCAGATCAGTATCCTTGGGTTTATGATGTTACTGGCACCGTTACTGTAATCAAATTAGTTTTATTTTGGTGATAAAATGATCAATTAGTCTTCATTGGGTATGTACAGGTATCGTTCTCATAGTTTCACATTGACTTTTCACATATAGAATCTTCACCTGAACTTCCACCAAGAAATATTTTTTCATTCCTAATTTGTAGCAATTAAAAGAAATTTAATTCAATTTAATTCTAATTAAGGATGAGACAATAAATATACCAAAAAAAAACAAGGAAAAAAAAACTAAAAAAAAAAAAATGTCAAGCTATTTGTGGTTAAGTGCTTGCCTTCTAATCCCAAAACCTGGGTTCAAATCCTTAAAATTGTTCTCATTAATAAAACTTCTCTTTATAGTAATATTCAACCTGTATGTTGAAGTTGTCATGTTTTTTAGTATGTAAGAAGGAAAGAGTGCACATTTTTCAGGCTAATTACCTAATCTCTTTTCTGATAAATATTATGTATCTTCTTGGAATGTGAAATAAATATTTACATAGGGCTCATAATGAGACTTTCAGTTTAACTGACTTTCAAAGGCCAATCCTGTAAGTCATAAAAACATGATGTTGCAATGTAAATAGATCAGTAGTCTACTTGATATACAATTGATAGAATCATATTCATAATTGTTTAGAAGAAATAAATATTTCTTGTAAAATGTTTCATTCTTACCCAGTAGCCAGGGTGGGTTTTATGTTTTGGGCAAACCCCCTCTTTTCTGGTGAAACCCCCACCCTTGAATTTACTGAATGAGTCCTCCATAACCCAACTAATGCTCTTCAGACCCACCCAGACATAGACGAAATGTTTTGCTGCAGAACTTTTTCAAACATAACTGCTATTATAGCATTATTTAATAATAATAATAAATACTTTATTTCAACACAGTAAAACTTGATTCACCCAAGTGTGTTTTTCATCAAGGCCGTGCAAGGCCGTATAAATATAAGTAGTATAAAACAATAAAAGCAAACACAATGTAAAACCAATGCCGAAACACCGAATCCCAAACACGATGGCACGCATCCCAATACCCGGAGCATGCATTATAACTTCTTATGTAGTAGTTAAGTATCAAAAACAGAAGATTAAGAAACACAATACATAAATACTAAAAAATCATTTTACAGTATATACAAGGTGAGCAAACAGAGTGAAATTGTACACTCAAGATAAAATAAACTATTTGAATTTGACTAGATTTGGTGCATTTCTAACATTGTCATTAAGATTATTACACAGCATGGCACCACGGTAGGTAAAACTCTATTTTTTTTATTCAGTTTTTGGTTTTTCTAAATATAAGATATCTGCTGATCTTGTGTTATACTCTGGTTCTTTTAATATGAATCTATTTTCATGGCATTGCCATGAAAAATCTTTTACATAGTAGTAGCTTCATTATGAAATAGCTTTGAATCAAGGCTTATCCATCTAAGGTCTTGCAGGGCTTGGGAACTAGAGTCATAGGGTGATTTTTTCAAAATTATCTTTGCTGCTCTGTTTTGGAGAACTTGTAATTTTTTGCTTAGTGTTTTGTTTGCTCTTCCCCCCCTATGATGTTACAGTAGTTAAAATGTGGGGCTATTAACGATTTGTACATCATTGTTTGGAGATGCTGAGGGAGTAAATCATGTGATCTCTTTAAGTAATACAAGCCTGGCAAGACCTTACTTTTGACATGGTCAGTTTGCTTATCCCATGACAAATTTTCATCAATCAAAACACCCAGATGCTTACAAGTCTGTACTCTTTTCAAACATTCACCATTGATATTTATGTTAAGATCCTTATTTTTAAGTGTGGCCAATTTTTGGTGAGTTCCAATAAACATACATTCGGTTTTAAAAAAATTTAAACTAAGTTTGTTACTTAGACTTAGACTTGGACTCATAGAACACAAGAAACCTCTAGCTCCAGGGGTTTCGTTGATCTCACCAGGCCTTCGACCCTGGACAAAAGTAATACTATCAGCAATTCTTATTTGGAGATGTCAGTGTAATGAAAATAAATTTAAAAATATGTATTTTTATTTTCTTAAACTGTTTTCCCCCACAGTTGTGGGTATGCTAACAAGCCCAAAGTTATATTTTATTTTTATTCAAAATCATCAGTTAGTGGTGGGCTAGCAAAACAAGATATAAAGGGTTTCATCTTATTAGTGAGTACACTCTTGACTTCCTGTACGGGGTGAATAAAATACATGTTAACCATTCTATAATAAATTCAGTGTTGAACTGAACCCTAGGATTTCGCCTGAAAATTGAGACTGACCAAAATGGTACTAAGATCTTGCGATCCATTCAAGCATAGTTAAAAGGCAGCAACAGCTTTTCTAGGAGTGAGTTCCATTTGTTTTTTTAAAAAGAAAACTTCCTATAGGCCTATATCCAACTTGTGTAATTTTTGCAGTGATATCTCTGCATTTATTTTTTGCATTCTGAGATGATTTAGCTAAGAAAACGGGAAAGATAACTCACAAATGAAATGAGTACAGACTCCTAAACAACTTTTTGATCATTATCAAATTTCCGTCCATCTTCCCTGATTGGATGTGATAGATCACATAACATCTTCAATGCATCACCAGACTTAAAAACTGTCTGCATTCATGACACAGACAATGATAGTCAATTGAACTCATCAAAATGAAACTGAATGAATCAAATCAAATGATGAAACAGTTCAAAAATACAAAATATCAAAATGATATAGACCTGCCGAAACATGCTAGAATTTACCGATGAAATCTTCATCTTAACTACACGTACTTATTATGAATTTGTATATATTTTTTAATACTTAAATAAAGCCAACACAAATAATATATAGACATTATCCAAAAAAAAAAAAAAAAACAGTGTCCACTGCTCATTTTTGCATAAACGAATGCAAGGCCCAATCCACAACTATGAAAGGGCAGCTGCTATTCTTTTGGGATAATTGTATGATTTACACTAATATCTCCATGGCTTGTGATGTTTGTTTCCTCTCCACTTTTCATATTGAAAATTTTTCTATTTAATACCTATTTCCCACAAATTTATTTCTATCATAAAATTTTTCATGATAAAAAAAGTTCAATCTCCTATTAAAGCTTCAAAAAGAAATTTAGTTTAAAAAACATCTCATTCAAAGTGACAAGTGTAATTGTAATAAAAAGAAAAAAAATATGTTAAAGATGAAGAAGTTCCCCTCTTGTCACATTTCTAACCATATAGTACAATATAATAATAATAATAATAATATCTACAGGTCTTTCTATGGTATCTTGGACTGTTGCCGATACTTTTCTCGTCAGAGTTCCGAGTACGACTCGAGCGGAATGGTTACAATACTCACCAGTTACATGATTGACGAGACGCTGCCAGAGGTCTTGAAATCCGTCATTCAAAACACACGATCAGAAGGAATCAACGTCGAGAATGTGACTGTGTTCCACGCTAAATGGAAAACACAGGGATGACCAACACAATAAGGTTGGTATCTCATCAAAACATAATTATATTATTATAAAGATGATGATTAGTATGATCTGTAAGGAATAAAAAAAAACATGTAGTTATTGCTGACATCAAGTAGATTTGTCACGATTATGCATTACATAAATCTTTACCATCAGCCAGTGACTTTCTCTATGTGGTTGATCAATTAAGCGTATTAAATAATCTATTTAGTTTATTGGTTGGCTGATATATTGAATAAATTGTTTGATTGGCTTATTTAATATAATTGTATATTGGTTGGCTAATATATTAAATAATTGACTTGATTTGATATATATTGGTTGTTGATACATTGACTTAATTGGCTGATTCTATGTATTGGTTGGCTGATATATTCTGTAAATGATATACTTGATTTATTCTTTTTTTATGTAATAGTGTCTTAGAGTTACATTGATTAATTGATCCAATAATGATTGAATAAATAAAAAAAAAAACTCCATTGATTAATTGATTGACTGACTGACTGATTGATTGATAAATTGATTGATTGATTGATTGCTTGATAAATTTATTGATTGATTGATTGATTGATTTAATATGGGCACATTGATTGACTGACTGCATGTTTTAATACGGGCACATTGAACAATTTCATTACAGATGGGTTGAATGATTTATACTTCCTGCTTCACATCTTATGAGCAACTTTTATAGCTTTCGTGTTCATTTTAGAAATTTTTCACAAATATGACCATCTTTTTATTCTTGAAGAAGCAATTTGTTAAGTATACAAATGATCATGTTAATGATCAACTTTGTATTTTTAGCCTTGTGATTTTACTATGAGAAGGCAGTTGAAAAAACAAACCATAACATATTATCATCTAAATATGCTGGTTAAAGAAGTTATGTGCTGGTGGTTTAGAAGTTACGATTTTGACTTGATACTAGGTTGAAATTTTGTAGGTTGCATGACTTAAAAAACTCATTTTCTAAGCCTTTTGTTATGTTAGTAAATATTTGTGTGTACAGTACAATTCATGTGCTGTACACACATACTGTAGTGGATTTCCTGTCAAACCTATAAGACAGGTACCTAAGCTGACTTCGCTAGAACCTGATTAAGTTACGGCGGTACATGAATCAGTCCTGGCGAAACTGTGCATTCATCAGTTGGATGCATCGTGTATTTCCCTTGAGATGCTCTAGAATCAAGTCTGGGATCCTAGCGCATTATGACTTTTGAGATTCAAAGATATTTCTGGGTTGCATTTGGATATTAAAACATATTAAAAAAACAGCAAATAATTTTTTGCTAGTCATGTTTGCAGTGCGAAGTAAGTCTTCATGGCATATATCATAACCAGCCAATTACAGATGCTGATGTACACTATACCACAAGTGAAACCAAGTCCGTAGGCCTAAAAGTATATTTCCTGTCGTCTGCCTCAGAGTTTAATAGAATAAAAATTGTGCTTTCCAAAACCTTTTTTTCATTCAACTGTATTCAATAACTTTCATTCCTATTTCCTTTTTTCAAATATAAAAGTGAAGTGTCTTTCAACATTCTTCCTCAGTGCTTTTTCTTGCAATGCCACCCTAAACCAAGCAAGTTGGTGATTGGTCCATAGGGACATTCTGAGCTTCTTTCTGATCTGCTTAGGATTCACAGGGGATGTGATGCTCATGGGACCAACAGTTTAAAAGGCCTCTTCCGAAAGATGATGTGCTCAGCCTTCCAGCTGAAAGATGAGGGAGAACAACTGGATGAAATTAAAAACAGATCACAATGTTTAATGGCACCTATATTTCTTCACTCATTCTGGTTGTATTCAGTGTTGGTTTTAAATCATCCCTATAGAGTACTATAGTACATCACTATTTCGGTGGGGTCCCAAGTCTCCCGGAATCCCTGGGAGTCTTCCGGAAATCGGTATGGTCTCCCCCACTTCCGCAAACATAAAAAATCTCCCAGAAATTCACTTATCTCCCGCAAATTCAGTAAAAAACAAATCTTTCTGTTTTATTTAGGCCTAAACTTTGGTTGCCAATTATTTTTTGTAATCTGACAGTGCCATTTGTGGGCTTCTAATGGCACCTATTTAAAAAAAAGTCATCACCTCAGCACCAATCATGGTGGGCCTGAGGTGGGTGTGGCCCTTCGTTTGGTACCTACACTCTGTCCTCATAAAATATATAGCACCCCTAATGTCATTAAACAAATCTCCCGGAAATGGGTTCTTCCAACTTGGAACCCCTGATGTCATTATACAGTATGACATCTCTTTGTTACCAAGCAACTACCATGAAGCAGTCTATACAGCTGACTTCTTCACTGTTAAGCCTCAGTTTCCCTAACTTTTCAACTAATAAATTTACCATATAATAGTTAATTGTTAGTTATTAAGTATATTTTGTAATTAAAATCATGTTTACAAGGTAGAAATATAGATACAATGTCATAAAATTAAATTATACATTAGTAAAAAGGGGATTTTTATGTTACTTAGCACTGTACTACAGTGCTCTACATTCAAAAGATTTTTACATGTTTATTTTTTTTTATTTTAGCCTTATTTAAAGAGAGCATTCTTTGTGTTGAGCCTTCCAATGTTAGTTGCTGTGAAACACAGTGATTTCTTCTTATGACTAAGATCTTCATTCCCATTCTTAATTTTTATTAGTCTTTGTTTAACAAGCGATACCCAGATCATTGATGACACTGCTTTCTTCTACTGGGGCCCTCCACTCATCAATTATAATCAATGACTTAAAAGCTACATTTCATACAAAAACAATTAGGAGTCTTAGTTTATAAATGATCACATCATTGCTTCTTGTAATTGGCAAGTGTACATGCTATTTGATGTGAAAAATAATTATATAAAATCAAGATAAAATTTAATTATATACTAGGTAAATATTTTAAACAAATCGTGATTATGTTTTCTATCGTTTTTAATCTAATAAGTATGTTTTGTTTTTAGAAAATGCGCAATTACGTGTGCACCTGTGTTTCGAGCCATTATCAATTTATTATCAAATTAATTTGTCACATCCATGTATGAGTCAGTACTGTAGTTATTAACAGATTGAAAATTGCAATTACACTTAATGATGATGTGTCTCAATCCTCAACAGCTTTGGCTAAACATTCAGGGACATGAAAATTAAATAATCAACTGAACTTTGTTTTTTTACTATCCTTATGTATTTATTAATAATGTTATCTGAAAGATTAGTAAGTGAGGATTTCATATGTAATTATCATGTTATTGTGAAGGCCTATGTAGGACAGAGATGTGCCAAGCCAGTCATATCATGAAGACCTTGAATTCTCGATACAAACAATATCGGGTACACCATTATAAGCACTGCCTTTTTTACCAAATCAATTCATGATTATTTGGTGCACAACCCTTGCATGATTGGTGTGCCAACACTACCACATCACCATCATCTGGCGCACCACTGCACCACGGTTTGGTACCGCTACAAAGCACCATCGCAGCACCATTATCATGGCATCTTCATGTGGTATGCCACCATAGCACCATTTGGTACTACAGTATTGTATAACACCATTATTTGGTACACTTAAAAAGAACCAGCATCTGTTGGACTACTACAGCACCATCATTTAGTAGTGCACCACCATAGCACCATCTTCAAGAACATAACCGTGATTATCAGGTGCGATACTTCAGCAGCATCACCATCATCTGGTGCACCACCATAGCACCATCTTCAGGAACATGATCATTATTATCAGGTGTGATACCTTAGCAGCATCACCATCATCTGGTGTACCACCGTAGGACCATCTTCAGGAACATGATCATTATCAGGTTCGATACCTCAGCAGGATCACCATCATCTGGTGTACCACCATAGCACCATCTTCAGGAACATGATCATGATTGTTATCTAGTGCTTACCTCAGCATGTCACCACAACACTATCATCTTGTTTACCACAAAAGTTATATGTTATCATACGATATATGGTACCCTACCATGAGCATCTATTGCATGTCACCATAGCACCATCATTATAGGACTATTATTTGGTGTACCAGAAACCCTCATTTTCTTGTATATAATAGCTTCAACCATCAAGCTACATGTAAATATGTTGATTTCTTGCATGTGGTTCAACACCAATTTATTCCAGTCTAAAAAAAATTATACTGTTTAATTTATTATGCATAATTTATATGCATATGAAGTGACATATATACAAAGATGTGTTTCATCCACTTTTTCTGCAAGAGTATGTACTTCTTCACAAACAAAGTGTTTTACTTATGACTTGCAAATCCCACTTAACTGCAATGAAAGGGCTGTTGAATAGTAGGTTAAATTGAGTACTTTGCTCAACTGAGTCTTAGCAATACTTTCCTTATTTGGAGTTAGTTTCAATGAAACTTGATATAAGAAGTAAGGTAGTCTCTGATGTGTGTAATCGCATCGTGTATAATTTGATTAAACCGCAATTTTTCAATAGCCTTGGTTTCAGTTCCCGGCGACGCTGCTATGTGTGTCAAACATTAGCTGCGTCAGGCCAAAGTCATGTCCCACAAATTACCATTGAACTTTAAACTTGACCCACAGGAGTTTGCGGAGAGTGGATGACTGTTTTTTTTGCTGGAGAGTGGCAGTTGTGTTCCTGGGATGTTGTTTCCCTTCTACTGGAACTGTCAATCAAAACTCATACAACCTGTAACATTGACTCTATAGAGCCTTACTGATCTACGGTTAGATAACCTACATGCACAGGATAATAAAAGTAAAACAATTAGCATTAAACACAGAATAAATTGTTTTTCAAAATTGCTTCTGTTTTCTCTGTCCAACTTGATTAGTGAAACAATATTTGAGTGAAGTTAGTTGTATGATCAACCTATCATTGGAAGTTGTATTTTTTTTTGTACGCCCTTTTTAAAATGTGATTAATATTGAACATGCATGTCAGGACTAGCAATGTTTAGTCTTGATTTTCCTTTCCTTTTTTTTATTTGTTGATGGGCC